ATAAATAAATAAATAAATAAATAAAATGTTCTATAACAAAATTCAACAAAATATAAATTCTGGTCCTTCTGTCCACCTTTGTAAAATAATTCCTCCCTAATCAGTTAGCTTTTATTTATTTTTATTTATCTATTTTTTTTTTATTATTAAATGTTTGGTTAAGGGACGCATTGCTAATTCTATGGCGTTAGCTATAACGCCCCTGAGGACCTTGTACATCTAGGCCGTACCACCGTTAACTGGCGGTTTGAGCCGTTAACTCCTGGGAATCCCATATGCCGTACCGCCGTTAACTGGCGGTTTGAGCCGTTAACTCCTATATGCCCTACCACCGTTAACTGGTAGTTTGAGATGTTAACTCCTGGGATCTAACGTCTACCAGCCCACTGCTGTCACCTCGGTTGCTGTAATTAGCTTTTTGAATTTAATAATTTACTGAATTTAATCTCATTCACTCACCAACGCGCTCCAACGGTTCCCTCCTACAGAGGATTGGTTCACTCTGTCGTCTCCACACAAATCTATAAGAATGGAATTAATTTGATAAGCTATTTAAGTTTCCTTTTTTTTTAAGTTGCATCGTTAGCTTTTTCTCTTCTTTTTTCTTTACTCACCGCGTTGGTTCCAAGTTCCTAGCTCTTATTAGAAGGAGTCAAGTCCGCCTCTCCCTCTATCTATGCGGCACCCAAATCAGGGTTCTTCACGGCCTCGACCGTTGTTTTTTTTTCTCTCTCTCTCTCTCTCTAACCGCTCAGTCTTTGCTTTCTGTATCTGCGTGCTGCACAGCCGTTTGTCTCTCCTCTCGCTCAGCTGCGTCGCACGGTTTTATTTCGCGGAGGCGGGACTTATTTCTCTCAGCCAATGAAATTTCAGATTCCCACCTGGACCAATAGTATACAGCTTTCCTCTTCTGTTTCTGTTAGGGATGTTCAAGATTCTTGTTTTAACCGATGTTTAATATTAAACTCGTTATTTTAGTTATTCACCCTTCCAATAATTCATTATGAAATTATCTATTAGTTAATTAGATATCTATTAATTAGTATTGTTAATTTCCTTAATTTATATTTTATATTTTATCTAAATTGAGGATGGATCATATTAGTAAGCCAATTAGTTAATACCTCATTAAGGTTCTAGCTTCTGGGTTACACCACCAATAACTGTTTACTTCATATCCTCGAGGAAATCCTTGTTTACTTCAGCTTGAATCCAAAAAAAGAAAACAAGAGGAATTTAAATCAAAGTCATTTATAAGTGGTTATAAATTTCAGTTTAATGTTTTGGGATGGTCATTTTGATGGCATCCTATTCCTGTTTGAGAGATGTAGGCATAATCTGATCTCAATATTCTTGGAAATACTTTAGACATGTTCACTAATCTCTATGTTCTTGTTCTGTAATCACCTCAGAACCAGTGTGTGTGAGATGCCTCAGTCACTATGGCATACCGCCTGATGTTTCACTGGGACAGAAGCTAAATCGTTCAAGCAGCCTGCTTTTTTTGCATGTGGTCTTGTTTAGCAGACATTTGCTGAGTTTATACAAGTAACTAAATAGATTTGAATAATACTTTGTCCCTGTTTAGTATTTTGTCATAAGAGTGAATTACACATTCTGTTGAGAATGTCATGGTTACTGCATGTGATGCCTCCTGCTTTAGGTCAGCTGACCCTGTTGGTTCCACTAGTCTGATTAAGTCATCGTCCAAATCAGCAGAATATAATTGACTTTTTTTTTTCTATTTGCGATTCTAGCAAATATATTTTATAGTGATCAGTTTAAAATCATAATAAAATGCATACAGTTAAATGAGTGGATTAATAAACTATTGAATTAAGTTGGTTGGTTTAGATCAGGCCATTGAAACAACTATTAAAAATAATCATACAGTAGCAGCTTCAGCATTTGGAAGAAAAAGGATTTATGTCATCTATTCAAAAAGCTTTTTTATGTAGAATTAAACAGTAATCATTGATATTGGTTCATCTTTACTTGCCTATTTTTTCCACTCTTTTTGCTTCTCTGTTTTCATGTTATCTAGAACGAGTCATCCACCTCCTGACTCGGTGCTCCTTACCTGAGCCGTTCACACGCTGCTTTCTCTTTAGACCAGGGGTGGGCCACTCTGGTTTCTCCCGCTTTCGACTGTATGAAGAGGTTTTTAATTCCTGAATGAGTCGTCAGGTGCTGTTTGCTGCCACCCTTTTTATTAATGCGGTCTGGGCAATTCTTGGTTCTACCTTTATTCTGGAATTCTTTTTTGGGCAGGAATGACTTTTGTGCTTTCAAATTGTTGCCTTAAACACTTTCTTGGCAATGATCTTCATTGATCTCTCTGTTCACGCCAATAACTGGGCGAGTACTGGCAAGAGAGCAGGACGAGATGTGACATGTAGTAAAGACACTGAATGATTTTGATGACAGTTGTGCTGCAGATGGTCACATGGCCAGATCTCTTGGTTTTAAAAGGAAAGAATAGTCTGTAATCTCCCAAAGGATCTATGCAGCTTCTTGGTTTAGCTAAGCTTGTTTGCTCCTTCATGCTAGGTATTGCTTCATTGATGGTACGTACAGAACATTATCGAAGGTACAGTCCACATGTGCCTATGTCTAGAGTCCCCCAAAGAGGTGGAATACGTCATAAAATGTCCCAGGACATTGCTGCCAACATGTTAGCACATCATGGACCTTTGGACACTTTGTGAGAAAATAAACGTCTCTTTATGGGATTTAATTTTATTAGCCACTCCCTCCACAAATCATTTTAGATGAGTTTAGTGGATGCAAGACCCTAGTGTCAGTTTTCTTTTGTGTGTTTTTTCTCTAAATACTACATAAAATTAGCTTCAGCCTTTACGAGCTGTTGGGATGTTGTTGGTTAAGCGTATGCAGCCTGACATTTGTCCATTTCTCAGGGGAGCAGATAATGCAGATAAAGTCCTGTGTGCACCAGGGAGAAGGAAAGGTTCCGGTCCCAGAGGTCATTTGCTCTTTTCCCATTAAAAACAAGAGCTAAAAAGAGCTTGTTCGTAACAACCAAAGGCAACATGTCTCATGTGGGGTTGAAATTTAGGTCACTGCAGAAAATTTCTTGGCATAATTGCAAAATCGTTCCATTTCCTTGGTGTAAAACGTGATGACTTATAGCAGCACTAATAAAATGCATTCATAATTTCTGAGGCCATAACGCTTTCATTTTCAAAAAGCATAACATTTTTCACTGCTGGGAAAAGCATGTTATTCTTGATAGTGATTTTAGTATAATACATAAAATTTAAGTCGCCAATATACCTGTTTGTCATTGATATGGGGTGATTATGTCTGGTTGTCTCGCTGCCAGAGAAAGTAGGTTAGTCTATTGCTGTGAACTTATTTGTGGTATAGACCTGTGGATGGAAACTAGCCGAGTCTGTTCGAAGGATTTCTAATTAATGAGTTTTTGTGGTAACCTTCCCACAGGGCTTTGAGTCTTTATATTTCCAGTGACCGCTGGTTCTCTGTATCTTTCTTCATCCAGCCTGTTTAAGGGATGAAGGTTTAAATCAGACTTGTGATGAAAAAGCAGTGTTCACAGTTTGTAGTAAACTATAGGACTAAATAAGGTATTGTAGCCGGTCCAAGCTTGTGATAATTATGGAGTCAATCTAGTAAACTTTCAGTAATGTAGATTTAATTTTGTAACGTTGACACGATCAGGATGTGAAGTAATGCAGATTTGCTGGGTGGTAGAAAGCAATTTCCTCATTTATGTCTCTAATGATGCATCAGTAAAGTTTTGGAAACCTGTGAGAATGGACAGAATGGCCTGGACACAATCCCACGTCACCATGTTTCTTTTTCAGTTCTTGACATGGAATGGGATCTCCTTCCGTAAAAAAATGTTTTCAGCATCCCTTCCTGCCCCCAAATCCAGCAGTGTGTTTTAAGCTCATCAAAATAGTTTTCCCATTTTTGGACGTGCTGTTTGAAGGTCTCGTGTAAGCCCCTTTTCCCTCTCGACCGTCCACTGTCTTCTACTTCCTTCTCAGAGGAGAACAGCAGAGGCCTGAGGGTCGGTTTACACGTCTGTCACCACACTCCCTTGTCCACAGAGGGACCTTTTTTAGAGCCTCTAGGTCACTGCTTTTATCTTACCCCTCTCGTGCCGCGTGATGTCAAACTGTAAAGCTCAAAGGAAAAAGGTCCCTGGTGCAGCAGCGGTGGTTTCAATTCTGCTTTCTTCTCTACAAATGACATAAAATCATAGTAGATTGTTATCTGAAGTGGCCTACAGCCTGTTGGATTCCTCTCTTGAAAAGATAAAAATCGGACATGTTTTTGTTTCCACACTTGTCCTATAATAATGAAAAACACAAAGAAAGTTCAGACGTGCCTTCACACACAGAGCCAGCTTTAATACGAAACGCCACAGATCAAACCACAAAGCTAAAGGCTTTATTGTTATCGGCTTTAGCCAGACACCATGCAGTCATTCTGTTTGGAAAAGTACTTTTAATAAATGTCTTGTACTTATTGGATTTACACAAAGAAAACATTTGTTTGAAATAATGAGTAAAGTTCCCATTTATTTTACTGCAGACCTCTGAAGCCTCGTTACTAGAACTAGAATCCTCAGCCATCTTTCTGTCCTGCACAAGAGTCGAGTTGAACATTAATTATATTAAATGCATGACTCTCCCTGGCTTCTAATCAAGAGTGATTATTTTATTACTCCAACAGAACAAGAGTGTAACTCAGCTGTTGGTTTCATTTCCAAGTGTTTAGTTTCTGTATTTGGTTGGTTATGTTGTGCTTTTATCTTTAAATTTATTCCTTCATTAATTACTTAAGAGGTCTTGTTTTACATTTGGGATGTTTAGAGGCATCAAATATCTCCAAATGTCCATTTATCTGTTTTTATTGCTTTAATTTATTTTTCCAAAGCAGCCCTTCACCTGTAGTTGTTTGCAGCTGCATTTAAACTGCTGGGATAATGAAACTGTTGTTTCTGTTTACAGTTGGTGATAAAGTGCCGGCAGACATCAGACTGACTTCTATAAAGTCGACCACACTGAGGGTGGACCAGTCCATTCTCACTGGTAGATTGTTTCTACACTGTTTCCTGATGTCCCAGCAGTCCTAAAGCTTTAGCATTTTTAAACATATATTCCAGGATTTTTTTCCTTTAATAATCATTTCATAAATGTTCCTGATTCATCACAAAAATGTAATATTTCATCAACTTTTACACCAGATGGTTGTCGTGGCTCTGTCCACGTTTAATGAAAATGGATGAGTGTGGATGGAAAAGACAAAAATCCAACAAACCTGTGGATGATAAAGGATAGCTAATGTACAAGAAGAGCCTTAGATCTCCCATCTTGCTCTGCTGCCTTAATTGGTAGCAAATTCCATGGGATATTTTAGTGTTTGAGCTATTTTCCTTCCCCATTCATGGCCATGCTGCCAGTCCTACTCTCCCAGGCTTATTCTTTCCAAATTGTGCGATCCGTGCACGGTTGATTATGCCCAAAAGAACACACAGTGAAAGCAGACATCAGATGAACTAGGGTGGTGTTTAATACTAGTCAGCTCTACTCGGGCTAAGCCCTTTCCACATGTCATCCTACCATCACTATTACCTCTGTTAGAAACTTACACAGCTCCTTGTTGTTGTAGGAGAGTCTGTGTCTGTGATCAAGCACACAGACCCGGTGCCAGACCCACGGGCCGTCAACCAGGACAAGAAGAACATGCTGTTTTCTGTGAGTGACTCCCCAAATTGCTTTGAAGCTTCTTCTTTTTTCTTATTTTTGTCCCCGACATTCTTTATATTCCTGACTACACTTATGTAAAGGGCTCTTCCTCCTATTTTGATCTTTTATGTTCTCTGGCTGTCCCTTTTGGCAATCATTTTATTCCATTTTAGCCAAATTCAGAAATATTGAATCATGCCTTTCCTGTTTTAAAACACAAGCAAACATACCCCACGTGTCTGATCAGAAATAGTTCCCCTCTAATTGGAATATGCTCTCAGTGTGAGCCTGGTTACTTATTGTTTTGGGATTAAATTCAGTGACTTTTTGTAAAAGTTTCAGGATCTTTAACTTGTTGAGTGATTTCTAAAATAATTCTACCCTCGTCTTTAGTTGCTTTGGTCCTTAAATGTTTTCTTAACTGAAGTCAACTTTTCTACTGTTTAAAACTCTCAGGGTACAAACATTGCAGCGGGTAAGGCTGTTGGTGTGGTGGTGGCCACGGCTGGAAACACTGAAATCGGTAAAATCCGAGATGAGATGGCCTCGACAGAGCAGGAGCGGACGCCCCTGCAGCAGAAGCTAGATGAGTTTGGACAGCAGCTATCTAAGGTTGAAGATGTTTAGGTTCAAATTAAGTCTAAAACACTGCTAATCCATTTGATGTTAACTATTAATCTATGTAATCAAAGGTCATTTCACTGATCTGCATTGCTGTATGGATCATCAACATCGGGCATTTCAATGACCCCGTACACGGAGGCTCCTGGATCCGAGGAGCCGTCTATTACTTTAAGATCGCCGTGGCTCTGGCTGTTGCTGCTATCCCAGAGGGTATGCTTCAGACTCTAAATGCTGCTTTATTCTCAACATGTTGGCTGTTCCATACACTGTGTACTGTTTCTAAATGTTGAAAGTGTTGACTGCAAGTCTTCTTTAAATTTCAATAATCTTCGCTCCCTTTGGTGAATGTGTTTTCGTCTAGGCCTCCCTGCTGTCATCACTACCTGCCTGGCTTTAGGGACACGCCGTATGGCTAAGAAAAATGCTATTGTTCGCAGTCTGCCCTCCGTGGAGACCCTCGGCTGTACATCTGTCATCTGCTCTGACAAAACTGGCACTCTGACCACCAATCAGATGTCTGTGTGCAGGGTAAGGCTCTTAGAGTGGGTCAGTTGATTATTTGGTGTTTATCTTTTGTTGTTGTTTTTACAGCTTAACTAATTCATCAGTAGATAGAAGAAATAAAAAGTATGCATGCTAGAGAACTGGCAGAAGCTGCACTTGGTTATTCTTCACAATGCATTAAAACAAACGTGAAGAAAAACATGTTCATGTATTCCTGAAGTGACCAGAACAGTTGGTGGTGATGAGGTACACGGCTCAGGTTGTTGGGCTGATTTCTGTCCTGTTTCATCCTTTCATGACTTGAGTACGTTTCTCAGCCTCCATCTTTCCACTCAAGCAGAATGCTGATCAGTATGCAGTAGCTAGTCAGCAGCAAAACCAGTTGAATTGCATAACTGACCTTGTGTCTCTTTCTGCCTTCCCTCCATCTACAGCTCTTGTTCATCTCATGCTTTTTTTGCAAGTCAAACCTAATCCGACACATTTGCAGCATCCACATAGGAAGGAGCATAAATAAATAGACTGATGGTTCCTGTGCAGTGCATCTCTTTAATCGCATTTTCCTGTGTTTTAGGATGTTAGAATCTTACAGCCCTGCTTTCGGTAGTTCTGCTGCTGCAGCTCTCATTTGTTTTAACGTTTCTGTTTTTACTCTTACCTGTCGTTGGAGCTTGGCAAAGGTGCCATAATTGTGAAAAAAAAAAATCTAGTGATCATCGTTCTTTTCATTAGAGAAATTTAACGAAATATAGTGGATCAAGTGAGAAATGCCTAAAGTTATTTGGATAATAATGCGTTTTGCTATTAGAATATGTGAAGCATCATTCAGCCGCGTGTGTGTGTGAGAGAGTGTGCGAATAAATAATTTAAAAAAAAATTCTATTGCTTTTAAAAGGCTATAAATAGTTTAATATCAAACAAATAATTCCTACACAAATATTCTAATTGTTTCCACGTTGAGACACTTCTCTGCTCTGCTGGTGTAATTTTAACCATACAGGAGATTTCTGTGTCCAGTTTGTTGTAGGATGACATTTATAGCCGTTCCCCACCGCAGTGCTCCGTGTCTGCTTTGGATCAGGATTTTACTGTGATGCTCTGTTCAGTGTTACAACATCTTATGAGGGTTTCTCTCACATGGATGTGCACTGCCACCTGCTGGCAGACTACATCAGCGTTTCAGCATTTTAATGAGTAAAAAAATCATTTAAGGGTTTAAGGTTTTGGTCTTGTTTCTTCTAGATGTTCATCATCGATAGAGCTGAGGCTGACAGCTGTTCATTAAAGGAATTCACCGTTACTGGCTCCACATACGCCCCAGATGGACAAGTGTAAGGATTCACTGTTTTTTAAGCTCACACTTAATGTAGATTAATTTATTTATCAACATCTTTTACTCTGTTATATATTTATGAACTGAAACCAGTTATAAATACTAATGGTGTGTTTTTCTCTTTACCAAACCTTTTCCCTATTTGTATTTTAGTTTTCATAATGGCAAAGCAGTCAAGTGTTCCCAGTTTGATGCCTTGGTGGAGCTGGCCTCCATCTGTGCTCTTTGTAACGACTCTTCACTGGACTATAACGAGGTCGGTAGCCTGAACTTCATTCCACACGCCAACATGGCAACTCTACATGTTTAATGTGGAATATCTAATGAAGACTGTTCATCACCTGTGCGTGTGTGTGTGTGTCCAGACCAAAGGTGTTTACGAGAAGGTGGGTGAGGCCACAGAGACGGCTCTGACGTGCCTGGTGGAGAAGATGAATGTGTTTGACACAGACATCAAAAGCCTATCCAAGGTTGAGCGAGCCAACGCCTGTAATTCTGTACGTAACCTTTCTCCTTCCAATGGAAGTTCTTGGCTTGCAAGTCAGTCTTTGGCCACAGAAAGGCATCTAACATTAAAAGAGGGACGAAGGTCTAATTGCAGTTTTGTGTCATTGTAGGTGATCAAGCAGCTGATGAAAAAAGAATTTACTTTGGAGTTTTCCAGAGACAGGAAGTCCATGTCCGTGTACTGTTCTCCTAACAAAGCCCGCTCCTCTGTTGGAAAGATGTTTGTAAAGGTAAACTTTTCACACAATGAGATGATGACATTAACAGCTTGTTGGTTTGTTTTTTACTTTGAAATCTGTTATTGATCTGTGTTTAAAGGGTGCACCAGAGGGAGTGATTGACAGGTGCACACACATCCGTGTAGGCAGCAACAAGGTGCAGATGACTCCTGGCATCAAGGAGAAGATATTGTCTGTGATCCGGGAGTACGGGACCGGCAGAGACACTTTGCGCTGCCTGGCTCTGGCAACACGAGATAATCCCATGAGTAAAGATGAAATGATGTTGGAGGACTCGTCTCGCTTTGTAGAGTACGAGGTGAGTTGGAGGGGCGGATAAGTACACTGGAGTTTACTAAATGTTTGCTCCGTGTTAGGATTTCACGTTCCTGAATTTTAATAACTCTCTTGTTTTTTTTTTCTTCCAGACTGACTTGACATTTGTGGGTTGCGTGGGCATGCTGGATCCTCCCAGGGCAGAGGTGGCAGCCTCAATTCGGCTCTGTCGCCTCGCAGGCATCAGGGTAATTATGATCACTGGAGACAACAAGGGTAAGAAGCGGTTTAAATAACTAACATTTCAAATGAACAATTAAGATGCGCGGTTTAATGCTGAGAATCTGAGGAAATAAACTATTCATGTGTCTGTTATAGGGACAGCAGTGGCTATTTGCAGACGTATCGGCATCTTCGGGGAAGATGATGATGTTTCTAGCATGGCGTTCACTGGCAGAGAGTTTGACGATCTTTCACCTGCTGCACAACGAGACGCTGTGGTTAAAGCCCGCTGCTTCGCTCGAGTCGAACCAGCGCATAAATCTAAGATTGTGGAGTATCTGCAGTCCTACGATGAGATCACCGCTATGGTAAGGAAACGTTTAATCTGGTGTAACCGCAGCTGTGGTAGTTCATGTAAGTAATGCATCAGGCTGATATATTCCTCTCTGGGACTTCAGACTGGCGATGGAGTGAACGATGCCCCTGCTCTGAAGAAGGCTGAGATCGGTATCGCCATGGGCTCAGGAACAGCCGTGGCCAAGACCGCCTCAGAGATGGTGCTGGCTGATGACAACTTTTCTACCATTGTAGCTGCAGTGGAGGAGGGCAGAGCCATTTACAACAACATGAAGCAGTTCATCAGATACCTGATCTCTTCTAATGTGGGAGAAGTTGTCTGGTGAGGATGGCTGCCTTGTGTAACTGTTCCTCTAAAACTCATGTTTTCTTCTGCCATAACCATCATGCATGTGTGTGTGTGTGTGTGTGTGCAGCATCTTCCTGACTGCAGCTCTGGGCTTCCCTGAAGCTCTCATCCCTGTTCAGCTGCTCTGGGTCAACCTGGTGACCGATGGTTTGCCCGCCACTGCTCTAGGGTTCAACCCTCCCGACTTGGACATCATGAGCAAACCTCCACGCAATGCTCGGGAGCCCCTCATCTCCGGGTGGCTTTTTTTCAGATATCTGGCCATTGGTTGTAAGTTGGTGTTTTACAGCAGAATCAGTGTTTCATGGCTCAGGTTGTCTAAAATCAGATGTTGTTTGGAGTCTTGTCTAAGTGAGCTGTTTTTGCTTGCAGGTTATGTTGGGGCTGCCACTGTTGGAGCTGCTTCATGGTGGTTTGTTGCTGCTGAGGATGGACCGAGGATCACCTTTTACCAGCTGGTAGGTCTTGACTGTTGCCTTTGAACTTCACTCCATTCATTTCCTCTCAGCTCTAATCTGGTTTGTTGTAACTTTTTACAGAGTCATTTCTTGCAATGTGGTCCAGAGAATCCAGACTTCCAGGGTCTGGACTGTAAGGTGTTTGAGTCCCCTTACCCAATGACCATGGCCCTGTCCGTTCTTGTTACTATAGAGATGTGCAATGCTCTGAACAGGTTTGTTTCAGCGAGGCTTCCTGTTTGTCTTTAGGTATGTTTGTACGCTAGTTTTCATCCATCTGTGTTGCTTTTCAGTGTATCAGAGAATCAGTCCCTGCTACGGATGCCTCCCTGGGAAAATGTGTGGCTGCTTGGTGCCATCTGCCTCTCCATGTCTCTTCACTTCCTCATCCTCTACGTGGAGCCTCTTCCGGTGAGGGTTATCATTAGATGAGTCTCTGCTCTCATGTACCTCTCTACTCAGTGTACCAGCCTATGATAATCTGACACTTTTCTGGATTTACAGATCATCTTCCAGATTACCCCTTTGAATCTGACTCAGTGGCTGATGGTGCTGAAGATCTCGCTGCCTGTCATTCTCCTGGACGAGCTGCTCAAGTTTGCTGCCAGGAACTACCTGGAGCCCGGTAGAGAGCTGGAGAAGCCTGCCGGCTCCAAAGGCTGCTCTCTGTTTGCATGTATGGAGGGCATCTCCTGGCCCTTTGTGGCCATTTCCCTCCCCTTGGTCGTCTGGATTTACAGCTCTGACACTAACATGGCTGACATGTTCATGTCCTGACTCACCTGAGCACAACCTCGACATTTCTCATTCCCCCCCCCCCCCCCCCCCTCTGTCCATCCCTCCCACTGCCATCACCTCCCTCTTTCCTTCTATCTCTTCCTTCCTAAATGTGCATAGCTTGTGTGTGTGTGTGTGTGTGGCATTGGTGTGTGTTTGAGTGTGAGCTTGTGTGCACAAGAAGGACCAACTTCAACTCCTGAAACGTAACAAATAATCTAAAACGCTGAAAGGTTGCTTGTTTTGAGTTGGGCTAGGATTTGTGAATGAGTGTTAGAGGACCACCACTCCCATAGCTGTGGACTGTACCGCTGGTTTAAAAGCTAATAGTGTTGCCATTTTTTGTTTATATTGCCTTTAAGGTAAATTTTATAAATATGTTAGGATTAACTGTCATGTCACTACAGTTATAAAGAATGGTTTTGTTCAGGTTCCCTCCCAATGAAAAGAAAGTTGAAGATATCAGCTTAAGTGATTTGTACAGAGATCGAACACTATTTTATGCAACATTTTTTTTATGGCTTTGTAAATTTTTTAACCAGCGTGGCTTAGAGATACCGCCTTGATTTCTTTTCTGTTTACCATTGTGTCTTCAGTCAAAACTCAGAACACTGAGAGGACAAAGCTCCATATGGCAGACCAGGGCGGGAAATGTTTGGGTTAAACTAAGGAAAAAACATCCTGGGAAACAGAAAAAAGCTGCATGTCTTGTGACCGAGCATAATCTGTACGCGTTTCTCATTTCTAATTTAATTGTGTAAGTTCCCCTTGTTAAAGTAGAAATACCTTTGTGAATGTTTTTTTTTAATGGTAGTGATTGAAAACGTTTTTTCTGCACCTGGCAGAGCACAGCTACCTCAGTGTGATGAAAGAATCGCTTCTGCTCATCCTGACATGCTTCTCCTAATCAGTCTAGCTAAACGAGAACACCTGAGGTGTGCCCCCAATTTGCTTGTGCAGAAAACAAAGCCTCCCTCCCTTCAAACTCTTTTAAGGATATACTTTGTTTGTATGATTTTCGTTAGCGTGTGGAGATGGAGCTGTGTGGGGATGCTGTATGTTCTTTTCATTTCATGGCGTTTGATTCAAAGGACGGTAATAGTCTTTACAAAAACTACTAATACATTAAGTACTTTAAGCAACTGCAGTTAAAACATGTTTTGTTTTTCTACAAGGAAAAAATACACTCAATGAACCCTTTGAATCAAGTGTTTTCTGTCTTTATTTAACCCGGTTCTCATGTTCATATCCGTGTTTTTGTGTTTATTTGACTTGAATACGAATCCTGGACCGCCGTAGACAGGAATGTTGATTGGAGCTTAGCTTGTGGGTGAAAACGCACATTTGGGTCAGCTAACTACACTAAGCGTGTGGACATTTCCATGTGTGAAAAGCCATCTCAAGCATGTTTTAGGTAGAAGCCTGGTTGTTCTCACTGCCTGTGTTTGTCTTAACAAATGTGTGATTTTTATTTTTTTCTGCAATGCCTTCCATTGGCTCCCCTGTCATTAGAGTGAGTATTCATCTCTTACATCTTCCATTAAATACATCACCACACGGGAAAACACACATCATTTCATTTAGAAGTATATCAAAAGAAAATCTTCATATGTAAATGTGCAAATGCAAGGAAATGATCATGCCTCACCGTTTTACCACATGTCACCGTGTGCTGCTATTTTCACCTTTCTGACACACGCTTATTTTCACAGAATATATTTTGTTTAGATAAAATACAAGATTTAGTTTCTTCTAATGCTATTTCTCTTTATTTTAGGTTGGCTCTCATGAAAGCCGGGTCGGACTAAGTATCTGGAACCAGAGTGTGTTCTAACGCTTTAATTACTCACCGCAAACACCGTGAAGACCAGCAGCACGTACAAAACAGCCGAGCGAAAAGGCAGACCGATTACGTAAAAATATGCTTCTAGTTGCTTTCTTTTGCTCTTTGCATCACATCCTGAAATTTGACCAAACAAAAAAATGGACATTATTCCAGTCTTCTGTGCAGGGAAGCTCTTAACCTCGCTGAATTATTTTTTGCATGAAGAACTTGTTGCACACTTGTCTGAGGAACTCTCAAAGCTCTGGGTTGTTTGGTCTTAGCTGTACATCAGTGTAGAAACCTTCATGCATGCGTCTCAGCTGTACGTAGGCTTTGCAGTTTATTTTTTGTATTTATAGATTCTTATGTATAATATTCAAAGATATTAGGATGGCTTTAAGATAGATCTATATGATAAATTGTAAAATCACTGTTTTTATCGTTAACCATTTGGAACATTTGCACAATGTTGGACATGAATTGAGTCATGCTGAACTTGACTCTGCTTAACTGCTTTTTAACGTTTGCCCCATTATTTAACAGCTCACTAAGCCTTTTACAGTCATGATTTAGTTCTTAATGAGTTTAACAGACTTATCACTCATTTCTTTGTGAACCTGCAATACAAAAATGTGTTTGGTTTTCTTATTGCCTTGACATTCCTATAATTACTCTATTCTGTATCTTTATCAACTGCTGTACTACTGTGATTTTAAACTGAGGCCTGTTAAGCCTCCTCATGACACCTGGTTGAAGAACATTATTAAATGTATGTTAACACATCAATCAGTGCTGAAGGCTGATACTGATTGTACATGCATTACTGAGGTTGTGTTTTCAGGTAAATAAAAATAATTAAGTATTTAGTTTGTGTCCTTTTATTAAGCATCTTTATTAACCTGCTTCAAATTTTTGTTTTTGTTTTATCCTTGGGTTGAAAAATGAGTTGGACCGCTAAAAATGCAGAGAAGCAAAAGTTTCAGGTTAATTTTTTTTTGGGAAAAATATGTTCATCAGAAAATTCATCTTTATATCTGCACAACCATATTTCAGAGATTAGATGCAGCCTAACTTTATGACCCGTTTCAGATTAACAGTCACCTCAAGGTTCTGTGCTGGGGCCTCTGCTCTTCCTCCTCTATCTGCTCCCTCTTCAGCACATCCTGAGCTCCTTCAAAGGAATCTCCTACCATCTTTATGCAGATGACATCCAACTGTGCATCTCCTTTAAGCTCCATGAGATGTCTAAGCTGCAGCTGTTACACACCTGCTTAGACTATCAAAACCTGGATGGCTGGGAGATTTCTTCAGCTGAATGAAGATAAGACTGAGATCCTCATCTGTGCCCCAGACAAGCTGGTTCCCAAAGTCGGAGACTCTCTTGGTCAGCTTGCTTGCCACACCAAACCTTCTGTCAGGAATCTTGGTGTAACCTTTGACCCAGCTCTCACCCTGGATTCTCATGTCAGTTCTCTTGTTCACTCTTCCTTCTTCCATCTCAGGAACATTGCTAAGCTGAGTCCCATTCTGTCCTGCTCTGAACTTGAGACAGTTATCCACACCTTCATCTCCTCACGCTTAGACTACTGTAACTCTCTTTTCACGTGTCTGAGCAGAACCTCCCTGAACCGTCTACAGGTGGTTCAGAATGCCTGTGCTCGGCTTCTGACCAAGTCCTCCAAACACACCCACATCACCCCACTTCTGCTCCAGCTTCACTGGCTGCTAGTCAACTTCAGGGTTCATTTCAAGATCCTGGTTCTGGTCTATAGGGCCTTACATGGACAAGCACCATCTTACATTGGTGATCTTCTTAGTCCCTACACCCCCAGCAGGTCCCTGAGGTCCAGTGATCAAAGTCTACTGGTTGTGCAGCACCAGGCTAAAGACCAAAGGTGACAGATCATTTGCTGCTGTGGCCCCCAGACTCTGGAACTCTCTCCCCCTGAGCCTGAGATCAGTGAACTCAGTGGTCTCCTTCAAAAAGCAGCTGAAGACTCACCTGTTCAAGCTGGCTTTTGTATGACCTTCTTCACCACTCTCTCTTTATTCTGCTCTCCCCACCTATTCCTCCTTCCTCAGGATCCACTGATTTCCCTCTTACCTATTTACTCACTCTCTTTCTTTACATTTTTCTTTTAAATCCCAATTGCCTATTTTTGCTCATTTTAAATATATTTTTAAACATTTTCTAAATGCTTTTTTATATTTTAACTTTTTTTTGTTGTTTTTGTGAAGCGCCTCGTGTTTTTTATCTTGAGAGGTGCTATAGAAATGATATTTTCTTCTTCTTCTTCTTCTCAAAATGTGCTGGTCAGTTCCAGCCATGAAGATCTCTGAATTCATCACATCTGTTCTGGGATGATTTTTTTTTTTTTTCACTTAACTGTGTCCTGCTGTGAGGCAGCTGTGTAGCAGTTAATGTTATCTGAATGCCAAAAAGAAAACGTGCACATCGACTTTCACATATGAAGCATTAGGATATTTGAAATTATGCTCCGGACTCAAGAATTGTCTCTGCTGTTAAACACTTTGGGTCAGGATCCTGAGATAATCTCCAGAAATCAGTCAAATGATTGCACACGGTATTATCCTACTTTACTTATTACAGGAAAAGAGAATTGGTTGTTAATCCTTATGTGGTCATACTCATTAATGCCATTAACACTGTGTATACTCCAGTCCACAAAAGGAGGTGTAACAAATTTAGCAAAAGTTCTTTGGAAGGAGGGCTAAATGTTGTAACCAAAAGATGAGTCAGTTTTATTTATATAGCACATTGCTGGGCTGAGCAGCCAACCTCATGCATCCTATAGTCCTCTGTGTAGAATTAAACAGAATGAGTGGAGGGCCAGGCAAGCACATTTCATACACAGAGGCAATCCAATGTACTTTCCATCAACAATAATGGCAAGATCATTAAAATCAATGTGACAGAAAATACTATTTAAAATTTCAAAAGAAGCTAAGTTCTAGCTAAGGGGTGAGCAAGTACACCAGTCAAAAGACAATTGCAATACTCCAGCCTGCTTTAGATGAACACATGAATGAGTTTCTCTAGGTCTTGTCTGGACAGGAGGCCCCTGAGTCATGCTATTTGATGAAAATGATCAAACGCTGATCTAGCTATTGCCTTAATGTGACCAGTGAAGCTCAGGTCTGAATCAATTACAGCATCACGATTTCTAACCTGTCTTTGTCTTTATTCCTCTGGAGCTGAGCTGAGCAATAACCTCTGTCCTATCTTTCTTATTTCCAAAGACAATAACTTCAGTATTGTCCTTGTTTAACTGGAGGAAGTTTGATTGCATCCAATCCTTAATTTGCTCCAAACACTGACAGAGTGAATCTAAAGGACCACAGTCACTTGGTGATAGAGCTAGGTAGATCTGGGTGTCATCTGCATAACCATGATAGGCAATTTTGTTATTTTTTATGACCTGACCTAGGGGGAGCATGTAAAGAGTGAAGAGCAGTGGTCCAAGTATTGAGCCCACATGTCATGGTGATCAGCTTTGATTAGTGATCACTAATAGAAACATCACCCCTGTCTTCAAGATAAGATTGGAACCAACTACGGACTACAGTGCTGTGCCTGAAAGTCCCACCCAGGTTAAGAGCCTATCAAGAAAGATGTTGTGGTCCACAGGATCAAAAGCTGCAGTGAGATCGAGCATCATCAGGACAGATGTATTTTTTCTGAATCTGTATTTAGATGAATACCATTTAATACTTTAAAGTCTCAGTGATGTGGTGTTGTCTAAAGCCTGACTGGAAACTATCTAGCAGGTTGTTTGTCTCCAAAAAGCTGTTCATCTGGATCTTAACAGCTTTTTCAATAATTTTCACAATGATGATGACTGCTGCAACAAAAGAGGACAGGACGAAGATTTTCCCATCTTTTTGTTTGACAAACCAAGTCCTGGAAGTAGTGGGAAAAGTAAAATATTTGGGATGCATTCTTTCTGTGATGATGAGGATATAAAAAGGCAGCACTATAAGATGTACATGCAGGCTAACACTGGCACGTAGCTTTGGTATGTGCACAGACAATGTTAAAGTGGCCCCTTTTTGTTCTTTTTGCACTCCTTTCTGTACGTCCCAAGTGTGGAGTAATTATAGAAAGGCAGCTATAAAAAAGTTACAAGTGGCTTGTCAGGACTCATTATCCTGCTGAGGATCCCACGATGGACCTCAGCAAGCCAAATGTTTGTCACAACTTCATGCACTACTGCGGAACCACACACATAAGTTCATGCGCCGTTTGAATAGGACTGCTAACACTGTAGTCAGAGCTTTGTCAAGTATTACATACAGTGACACAAGGTATTCTTCTGGCTTTTTAAAATATTGGAACAAGTTACATGGTGTGTGATGGGAAATGTAGCTGAAATGTTATTGAAATGCTGTCCTTTTAAGCTGTTTTTATGGGCACTTTACTTTTATTTATTATTTTATCTTTGGCATTTTAGAGTATGGTCAACTGTTTTGTCTGTAATAAAGTTTCATTGATTGATTGATTGAAGGGGAGATTAGAGATTGGCCTGTAGTATTCAACACTAAGGGATCTAATTTCCTATTCTTTAGAAGAGGTTAAACAGTTTTCAATGATGCAGGAAAATACAGTTAACAATTTTCAGAACATCATCTTTTACGCAGCTAAAAACATTTTTGAAGAAGTTAGTTGACGGGGTGTCCAGACAGCAGGTAGATGAGTTTAAGGCCTTAAGAATGTTCTCCAGCGTTTTAGCACTAATCACACTGAAAGCTGGCCTTCTAGCCAGATTGTTGCTGTGTGGCCGTAGCTGTGGTCTGGTTGTGATAGCTGACGTGGAGGAATAAATGGTTGATCTGATGTTTGTGATTTTCTCATTGAAAAAGGATGCAAACTCGTTAAACTTAGTTTGGGATATCAGGGTTTAGCTGCGTTGGGAGATTACTTAACCTCTCAATAGTAGCAAACGGAAGATGGGGATTGTTCAAATGACCACTAATGACTTTGGAGAACAAGGCTTGCCTTGTCTTACTGAATTCAGGAATGTAAGTGCAGCTGCATTTGGAAGGTTTCATGGTGATCTGGTAGGTTACTGAATAGACGCTCAGCTTTGCTGCATGCTCTTTTTAAAAGAGAAAAAACTTTTGGAAAAGAGTAAAAAAGACAAGCACTCACACGTGCAGTGAGTTAAACTGTCCACCTGGTGACAGCATTTAGTGAAGATACAAACAGTTTCACCTGCTTTGAAAAGTAGATTTGCTTGATTTAAAATAAATTAAGAGGCAACAAAATATGCATTTCGTACATATGCGTTAATAATTTTAAACAAAATTACAAGAACGTGCATTTTGTGAGTTAGCCAAGTGTTTGGGATTTCTTTAGTTTATGTTGAAATGGGAGTCAGTAGAATCAAACGAGCTCTTGACAGGTTTCGTTGAGACTTGAACAACAAGTCGATCATCATCTGTCCGTGAATAAAATTCGCTTCCATTCCAGTGACGTGATCCCAGGTCCACGTTCTGTCTCTTTAACCAGCCGGCTCCACTCTGCTGCTGGTCCCTCCCATTCCTTCCAGTCGCCTCAGCGCTACTGGTCAGAGATGGGAGCGCAAACAGCAGCAGCAGCAGCAGCAGCATCACGTCCCGAGACACGAGACGAATCTGGAAGGAAATCACCAATAATACCTAACAGGTGCTCTGGAGAAGAAATGCGATAACGAACTCAGGCTGAATTCTTCCTAACCCAGGACCGTTTGGACCCGAGCGTAAGCGCTGCTCTGTTTCCCACTTTAACGAAGAAAAAAAATCATTTTTCTTTTATGGTACAAAGAGAATCAGCACCTGGGATTACAACCATCACCACAGGACCCGCTTTGGTTAGGAAACCTGGATTTAAACACAAAAGGCAGTAAATGAACCGAACTGGAACAAACACTTTATTTTCCATCCTTTTTTTGTTTTTGCACACCCCCGTGTCACCCCGCGTAAACGTAGCCTATTGTCATTGTGTCGAGGCGGATTTTTTATGTAGTCATTTTCCTGAACAAAGCACAAGAAAAACGTGTTTTGTTACATTTTGCTTGTCGCACGTTGGCTATTTCCCCTCCTGACTGAGCAGGCGGATTCTCGGTATCAGAATGGGATCGCTGCGACTGCGCAACCTTCCGCAAGTGTCAGCGACCAGGCTGTGTGTTTGTGTCCGGGATTCCTAAAACCCTCACATCAACAGACTTCCCCTGTTGTACTGGACGTGGCCATTGTTGTCTGCGGTGACACACTGGCGTACTGGACTCAGAGGGTGTCAAACGGTGCGCGGTTGGCACCCCCCACCCCCCACTTGTGTCTGAACCAGGGTCTGGAAATAAATTAAGCACAATATGGTGGAGCCGGTGGGATTCATAGAGGCTTGGAAGGCACAGTTCCCAGAGTCAGAACCCCCCAAGATGGAGCTGAGGTCTGTTGTGGGCATTGAGCAGGAGCTGGAGAAGTGCAAAGCATCGATTCGACGCCTGGAGCAGGAGGTGAACAAGGAGCGCTTCCGCATGATCTACCTGCAGACCCTTCTGGCCAAAGAAAGGAAAAGCTACGACAAACAGCGATGGGGCTTCAGGAAGACCCCTCTGAATGAAGGGGTGGACCCTGCAGCCGTGCAGGGGGCCGAGTCCCAGTCCCAGCAGCCCCACATGCAGGAGACCGGTGGAGTTGGCATAGCTGGTGGATATGTTGGTGTTAGCGGCGTTGTCGGGGATAGAAGTCGTTATCAGCCGCTTGGTGATGGCAGGTCTAAACCCAGACCCCCCCCAGCCAGAAAATCCGCTTCCCATGGAGATGGCTTGGAGTCAGCCTTTGAAACACCTCAGCAAGCTGAGTCAACATCCTGCGACAACCTGGATGGCCTTTCTCCATCTAAGCAGAGAGTCGGCATGTCCGTATCGCCACGCAGGCCTGCCCTTCCACCCCCAGACAAGGAACTGCCTTCTGACCCCAAGGACAAGCTGGGGATGGGACTTGGTGTGGCAGCATTAAGGTCCAACTTTGAGAGGATCAAAAGGGCCAACTCTCACTCTGCAGGTGATGTAGCTAAGGGGCAGGAGAAGCAGCTGCCGCCACCTCCACCTCCATTTTACACCAACATGGAGTTCCATCATGAGAGGGGTTTAGTCAGAGTGAATGATCGAGAGGTCTCTGATAAGATCAGCTCCCTGGGCACACAGGCCATGCAGATAGAGCGAAAGAGGTCTCTCCACTCTCTCCCAGGGAATCTGGCAACGGTGGCAGGTGACCTCCGTGCCAGGCCTGTGTATAGAGGACGGTCTACCGAGAGCACCTGTGGCTACGATGCAGAATATGAAGATGGCGAGCCCAACCAGAGGCATTCAGGGAGGGCCAATGGAGGCAAACCCCCACCTCCTCCTTGGCAACCCTCTGAGTTCCAGGCTTATTCCAGTGTCTACGTTGGTGGGGTGATGATGGGTGAAGGTGGCAGTGGAGACAGTAGAGGAGGTGGCAGTGGGATCACAACGAGAGACCATGGAGGAGGTGACGATCACCTCCTGACATGGCCCCGTCGCTCCTACTCCCCGGGTAGCTTTGAAGACGCAGGTGGAGGTGGTGGCTATACGCCTGACTGCAGCTCCAATGAAAATCTGACGTCCAGCGAGGAGGATTTCTCCTCAGGCCAATCCAGCCATGTCTCACCAAGCCCAACCACAGCCTTTCGTCGAGGAGCTTTCAGAGATAAGAGCCGCTCGCCGTCCCAGAACTCCCAGAACTCTCAGCACTCCTATGACAGCAGCAGCCCGCCAACACCTCAGTCCCAGAAGCGTCACCACAGGCAGCAGGGAGGCCATGTGGTCATGTCCGAGGCCACTATTGTGAGTGTACGCAAGACCGGACAAATCTGGCCTCCTGCTGCTCATCATGACCGCATGCCCCATGGTAGAACATCCCATGACAACAGTTTCCATGGAGACCACATGGGTGAGTGGTGGCTGTCGCCTTTAATCTGTATTGTGCTGGGGTTCTAAGGATATTTCATAGTAAAAATCAAAATGGTCTGTGTGGGCGAGTGACTGTAGTTTAGTCATTCTTGAAGTATGTTTGCATTTTTAGACCATTCATCATGGAATGTGTCTTCTATTTTGAAACCACACAGTACCTGAATGTGTGTGTGTGCATGTGTGCGTGCGTGTGCGCGCACGTGTGTGTGTGTGTGCTCTATTACACATTGAAATTTGCGTCCTCTGCATGGCCTTGTGTGGGAACCAGATGAAAGATCCACCTCTGCTTATTCCTGGAATGTCAGTCTGGTGGGTGAACAATGAATGTGGTCAGTCTGGGTCGATCCTTTTGAGTCTGGCGTTTTCTCAGACGAGTCCTCCTGCTTTTTTATGCAATTTGATTTACAGGTTTCAGCTGGCTGCCTGCTCCACTTTCTTTTCTGCTTCTGTAAAACAGTAAGAAAAACACGTTTTCCAAGAATGACGGCAACTGGACTTCTTTGGTTTCGGTTGCCTTCATCCGAACCTTTTGGATTAACCTAGATCAGGGATTCCCAAAGTGTGGTGCGCGCACCCCCGGGGGCGCGCGAGATGAAAAGTGTAATGGCTGCGGAGCTCAGAGAAGTCTGTCATATGTCACCATTAGCGTAGCCAGAAAACTCATTTGTGGGTGGGCCAAAGAAAAAGTAAATGGGCCCAATAAATGTAATTGAAAACAAGTATATTTTACTTGTGTGTGTGTGTATGTGTGTGTGTGTGTCCTCCACATGTGCCCTAACTTCATAATAACAATGCGCCGAGCTTCAGCACTCTGGCCTGCGCACGCCGATATGTTCCGTATTTTATCATTTTTAACGGTGTTGGAGAAATCTGAAGGTGGTGAGTCATTCTGGCAGATTGTAATTAACACCCTGTCTCATGCAGGTGTTCTGACATTGTAAACCTCACACGCGCTGAAGATCTGAAGTTTAGAGTGCGTCTGTCAGAGGTCAGACGCGTTCCGGAACCACGGCTCACGGGTGCACAAGTGAGGAAAAAGCGTGTTCCATCCGCGAGACGCATCACCAATCGGAAAGTGAATGCGTCAAGCATAAACCAAGCTTCGTGGAGCTGTGCCGCGCGCGCGCGCGCGCGCGCGCGCGCACACACACACACACACACACACACACACACACACACACACACACACACACACACACACACACACACACACACACACACACACACACACACACACACACACACACACACACACACACACACACACACACACACACACACACACACACAGATTCAATAAGTGCACGCTGCGCAAACTCTGGCGCGCCAGACTGATACCGTCAGACAGAAGGCAGAAATGAGCTCTGCCTCCTCTGTGATAAAAACTTTTAAGAGGTTTTATAACAACATTTTTCATTCCAGGTCAAATTAAGATATTAGCTTCTATTTTGGGATGATGTATTAAAGTCGGGTCCGCTCCAGCCAGTGACTCCGAACCTGCAGCATTTGTTATTCCAGTCCGCGTGGCAGCGGATCGCAGATTCAGCCACACCATAAAACAGCAATAAGTCGGTCTGAGGCAAAAGTGAACCTCATGGCTAAAGCTTTTTCCTTTTCCCCTATAGACATTTGATTACGCACCAGTAGGTGGCCAGTTCAGGTTTACGCAGAGCAGAAGGAAGGAGAGCGCTCTGGCCGCACAGGTTAAACGTTCCTATTTTAAGAAAACCGTTAAATTTCATTGTTTATGTGCTACCTGGGCACTCTAAATATTTATTTAAAATTAAATCAAAGGAAATTGTAATGGTATCGAATGCTTATTAATTACTATTTAAAAAATGAAGGTGATGGGGAAAAAGGTCGATCATATTTTTTTAACCCTGTCTGTTTAGCTTGACGTCTGATATCTATATCTATCTATCTATCTATCTGTCTATCTGTCTGTCTGTCTGTCTGTCTGTCTGTCTGTCTATATATAGCCGTGTGTGTGTGTGTGTGGGGGGGTGGGGGGTGGGGGGGGGGGGTGCGTCGACGTGGTCGGGACATAGAAGGGGGTGCCTCGGCTAAATAAGTTTGGGAACCACTGACCTAGATGACTTTCACCAGTGGGAACACGTTTGCTTTTTCCTGAATCACAAGGTGACATTTTATCCAGGATTTAACCCTTCAAACTGTAATTTGCATTACACCCTGTCACCAAATTACAGCCTTTGACTCACGGTACCTTTGAGAGAACAGCTAGCAGGATGGTTGTGCAGCTTGGAGATACAATAGTGTGCTAACTGGGCTAACAGGCAGAAACCCAACAACAATGGAGTGTGTTGCTTTGGGAAAAGCACACTAGGAGGTCCTAGTTTAGGGTAATTACTCGCTAAAATTTCCATTGTTAGAAGTTGTGCGATCTTACAAGAGCTAAAACCAAACAACTGCTCTGGTAGGCAAGGGAGGAAATCCCATTTCAGGTTTGGGGGGAGGACAATAAACAGTAAAACTTCAGAGAGTAATTTTTGGGGGGGACATGAAAAAAAATGCTCTCTACATACAACACTGTATGTCCTTATAAGAGACTGACCTGAGACTCTGTACCTGTGTCTGACAGGCTCTGGCTGCCTGTGCTCATGTGACTGGACTTTGCCTAATGAAACCATTTAGAAACAATTTCATAGGCATTTCATTTCTTTCTTATAGATGTCTTTATCAAAATGCAAGTTTCTACTTACTTGACGTTCTGGAGCATTAAAAAAACAACCTGATGTCTGCCGTTTTTCGTTTCTCTGCCATTTCAACTGAACTGGTCTGCTGACAGTTGGACAGCAACACACACACAGACGGGATATTGTCATTAGAACGGAGCTGGAGGATATTGATCAACAATAATATCTTGCCAATTTTGTACATCTCCATAAGCATCCTTTCTTTTTGTTTTAATTTCAATAACAAGACTGTGGCCTAAAACGGAATAAGCAGTTCAGAATAAAGATTTAAAAGTAGATCGTTAATAGTTGAAGCAACATGTCCTGAGATGACATGGCTATCAGCTGACCAGCAGCTACACGTGTGGACGGATGCAAAGCATTAATTTTAAGTACTAAAACACATCTAACTTTTTCACAACAAAGAGAGAGAACATAAATGTCAAATTAATTTTTTTTAAATCACATAACATGAAAGCTACTAAAATCCAAATAGTTCCATATTGATTTTAATATATTTGAAATTTTCCTTCTAAATATGGCTAGAAAAAATAACAAACTTCAAATCAGCTTTCACAAGTCAAGTATCAAAATGACTGAAATCTCTTTAATAAATCATAGAAATGTTTGTAGGCTATTAGAGAATAACTCTGTAATATTTAATAACTTTATCTAAGTCCGACTGAACGAAAAGGTACACAAAATCTAAAAATATATTCTTGAAATATTTGTTTCACATTTACTTTACAAATACACTAAACATATACATACTCTATAGTTTATCTTTCAGTTTAATCGATCTCTCACTTTTCTCAGTTTTCATAGTGTTTTTGGGTCTGTGTGGCCAACGGGATCTTTGGCTCTATGTTTTACACTGAGAGCTTTGAGTAACGTGCCTCCACCACACATTTGCTGCAACCAGTTCATCCCTAAGCTGCACGGTGCATCTGCACTTTGACATATTGTAAACAACTGCAGAGCCTGGGGAAGACGGGACAAGAGCGGTTAAACGCTGTGGTTTTCCATACATCGGACCAGTTAGTTTTGATTCTACCATATTCATCTGCTAAATAGGATGAAACGCGGACATTTTCATCGATCTATAAATGCTACGCAGATTCCAGGGGCAGACCATGAAAGCGTACGTGTCCGGAAAAAGGAACTTTTGATCACCTTAGTGAATGGAATAATAATAGCGGAATAATCCTGGAATGACCAGAGAACATGAAGTGATAACTTTTTTTTACTGTGGCGGTGGTGGTCTGTCATAAAGGGATCTCCAACCGGTGATCAAAATCTAAAGATAATCGGTGTCTATGTTTGACATTTATGACCACATTTGACACACATTTAAGTTTGTAGAACAAGTGTGTGATAAATGACTTATTGCTGGAAACCGCTGGCTTTGTGATTCCCGCCTCCTGTGAGCCTGCGGGCTGCTGTGAAGCTGTGAGCGAGGCAGAGCCGGCAGCCCCGCCCGTTGGAAACAGCGCGTGTGGACCGACCGTACCAACTTGAGGAATTGGGGGGGGGGGGGGGGGGGGGGAACTATAATTTCTCAACAATTAAAAACACATTGTTTTGTATTTGCTGACTAACTTTTACGTTGTGGTTTTAGAAGACAATACAGGTTTACTGATAGCATTTATGTGTTTACAATAACTTTTGTGGGGGGGGGGGGGCAACTTTGTGTGAGGGGGGGACGCATCCCCCCCGGTCCCCCCTAGGATCTCCGCCTATGCTGGTAGGTCAAATATTTGATGTAATTTTAAGACATGGAATGCTGTTTACTAAGAAGCGGTTTGTAGCAACTATGCACATTTTGGTGAGTTGTGTTTAAAGGCCCTCTGAAATGTAAGACTTTCAGTTTCCCTGTTTGACCAGACAGCCACCAGGGTTTTGGCATCAGATGATTACAACAGGGCTAGAAGGAGGTTAAACAGATTGTAGAAAAGAAGAAAAACAAAAGGACAGTTTTTGCAATACATTAATGGAAGCAGCATGAGTGTTATGCTGCTGCAACATGTGATTCATTACTGAGCACATTACTGTCATTCTTTGTTGCATTACTGTCTGCATCCCGTTGGCGCTCACAGGTCTTAGTGCATCTATAATTAATTCATTCAGATAAAACAAGAGACCCTGGTGGTACCTGCTAAAATGCCTTTCCATGCCGGATGGGATCATCAAAGTACCGTTGCATCCTGTTAGGATGTCCACTGCAGAAATACTCGCTGTGAAAAGTGAAAAACATCTTGCATCACCGGCAATTAAAAGACAAACGCCA